GTATATATATATATATATATATATATATATATATATATATATACAATTTTTTCAGGTAAATTACCTTCACTACGTGGGTAGTTTAATTTAAAGGAAGCGGTACACCTTTGCTTAAAGGAAGCCTTGTCTGATTCTCTGACCGCCTTATTTACATGGTACGGCTGCGAGGAAAGACGGCGGCCGTTATACAGGGCGTCTTAAAAATATGGGAACCCCTAAATATCTTTTTATAGTGAGGTTTTGAATAAAACTTTCAAAACAAAAGTTGTACGATTTCAAAAGCTAAATCTGATGGTGACCTTAAAATTGACCTTAAGTTTGACCCTGAAGGCCATTTCAAGGTCAAATTTATTTTTTCATATAAAATATGCATATTTTCGTGACGGATTCGGAATCTACGCCAAAAACTGAGAAGCTTTTGCCTGAAACACTTTTTCAGAAAATGCTCTCTTTGACCTTAAAATAACTTTCAAATTTCACGGTTTTTTTTTTAAATATGGGAACCCCTGAATATCTTTTTATGGTGAGGTTTTTCGATAAAACTTTCAAAACAAAAGTTGTAGGATTTCAGAAGTTGAATCTGATGGTGACCATAAAATTGATCTGAAGGTCATTTCGAGGTCAGCTTAATTTAAAAACCGTGAAGTTTGAAAGTCATTTTAAGATCAAAGCGAGCATTTTCTGAAAAATGTTTCAGACAAAAGCTTCTCAGTTTTTAGCGTAGATCCCGAATCTGTCATGAAAATATGCATGTTCTATTTGAAAAAATAAAGTTGACCTTGAAATGGCCTTCAGGGTCAAACTTAAGGTCAATTTTAAGGTCACTATCACATTCAGCTTCTGAAGTTCTATAACTTTTGTTTTGAAAGTTTTATCGAAAGACCTCACTATAAAAAAATATTTAGGGGTTCCCTTATTTTTAAGACATCCTGTATAATACGCTCTTGATAAGAGCAGTGTACGGTAAATATGGATATCTTATATTAACAAGAATTCTTAATATCTGATATATTTTATATTTAATGTTTCTGTTTTAGATACGGTATGTAAAAATCGCCATTTCGAGAAACCAATACGGTCAGAATTTCAGACACAGATGAGAGTCACTGCGCGTAGCAAAGGAGAGAAACTACAGCAGGACAAGTGGCTCAAGAACACGGGATGAAGAAGCGCGAAGAACAAATGGATGGACGACGAAGCAGACGACGACGAGGACAACGTTTGAGCATGATATTACAAATAACATGATATTTAGATAAGTAAAAATTGTCCATGTCCGAACATGTACCTGAAGCAGAATGATTAGGTACATGTTGAGGCATTGATGCTTTTATGTTTAAAAGTGTATGATATATTGTTTCCAATAATACTTAATTACTATTGATTTATTTTATTCTATTAATACTATCTTCACAGGATCACTCTCAGCGCAGCCCAGCGGCCTATGACCAGGAAGAAGAGGAAGAAGACCAAGAAGGAGGACTTACTTTCCATTGGAGGGAAAGGGGGGAGGAGGAGGAGGAGTAGAAACCATAGATAGTTTCCGTCTGCGGTGGTTTTTGCAGACGAATCGGTACTTTTCAGTGCCACTTATTTTTATTATCTAAGACGTGGAAACCTAATATTCGCAATTAATGTGTGTGCGTGTGGTGTGGTGTGCAGTGGTGTGTGTGTGTGTGTGTGTGTGTGTGTGTGTGTGTGTGTGTGTGTGTGTGTGTGTGTGAGGATGTGTTATTACTTATTTATACAGTATCTGGTGGCATAAAAGAAACCAAACGGACTGTGAGAAACTCTCGTACTGAAACTAGAGAAATTGTCATTGGCCTTTAATGAAGCTTTCAAAAAGATGTCTTAAATAGATTAAAAGATATTCCATTTATTGCAAAACATCCAGTACTGAAACTAGAGAAATTGTCATTGGCCATTAATGAAGCTTTCAAAAAGATGTCTTAAATAGATTAAAAGATATTCCATTTATTGCAAAACATCCAGTACTGAAACTAGAGAAATTGTCATTGGCCATTAATGAAGCTTTCAAAAAGATGTCTTAAATAGATTAAAAGATATTCCATTTACTGCAAAACATCCAGCAAAAGGATTAAGTGAGGGAAACATATGAAGTGCAGTAAAACAACATGTTCATATAGGTAAGATTAATTCATCTTATAACTTAACAAATTTAAGAAGTATTAAGACAGTTCGACTGAATTTTTCTTATTTTCTAGGTAACTCTGACAGGAAAGCAGGTCAAGTATACAGTTTACAGGACATATCATGCTTTGATACTGCTCAAATTATGCCCAGCATAGTATGCAGCATACATTTAGCAAAGCCTGACATTAGTAGGCTTGGCTATTTGGGAAGCAGTCAATATATCAAAATATGTCTATATGAAATGAGTATATCGCCATTATAACCATGACTTTATACTAACTTTTTATAATTTAAATATAGATTGAGAAACTGGATAGAATATATATTTTTGGTATTCCACGTTACGTTATATTACGAAGGAACATAGAGGTTCTGTGACAAAGGTAATTAAATCAGATTATTGAACAATAAGTACAGAAACAATCCAGATGGCCAAGCCTGCTAAAGTCAGGCTTTGCTAAATGTATGCTGTATACTATGCTGGCATAATTTGGACAGTATCAAAGCATGATCTGTCGTATCAGAGAGTATCAAAGAGTATCAGACACGTAGAAATGAAACAGAAATCTAACAGAACCTGCGTCATGATATGATAGTAGAAATACTACAAGAATAAAGTACAATATGTCAACACAGGAAAAGAAAAATTTAATATGTCGACAAGAAGCAGCATAAAATCGAACATGGAATAACGATAATTAGATAAATTATGATAATTAGATAAATTATGATAAAATTGTACAGCATATAAAATGACATTTATATATACATAATAAATTTCCCAACTCAGCAAACACAAAATAACAATAACATAATTGTGCGTTATAATTTCCCTTTCAACCATGTAACTGTTTACACGGTCGAGTGGAAAATTATAACTGACAGTTTTATTATTATTACTTTGAGTTTACCAGGAGTTTATTCAATAAATTTATTGTATATCTTTATAGTACCTTCCTTAAATTCATTAATTAATAATTAAGTCGGTCGTTGAAGGAATACTGCAAAACAATTTAAATTTTGTGCTACACTGTGATGGAAGAAATTTGCTGAAAATGCAATAAAATCGTTGAAAATACAATGAAATCGTCGAAATGAGAAATGAAAATTACTGAAAAGTTGCTGAAAATATTTCATCATGAATCATGATTTTCATTATGAATTGTAGTGAAAAGTGTGGAAAAACAATGAATTTTTAATGAATATTGATGAAAAGTAATGAAAAAATATTGAAATATTTAATGAAATATTTAATGAAATTTATTGAATTGTAATGAAAACTGAGTAAATTGTATTGAAACTTTGCTGAAATATTGATGAAAAAAATTCGTAAAAACATTTCTCAATAATTTTAAAAATTTTGCTGAATTGCGCTGAAACTTGATGAAAGAATTACAATTTATAATGAATTGTAAATAAGTACTTAATGTACCTCATTTATTGATCAATGAAAACTTCGTGAAAAGTTTTGACTAAATAACGAAATCGTGCTGAATTTCGCTGATAATTGACTAATGTATTAAAAAGTAATTTTTTAATTTTCCTACATGTTAGAATATGAAAATTCTCTCATTGAAATGTCGATGAAAATTACTGAAATATATCGAACTTTACTGAAATTATATGGGAATCTGATTTCTTCATTATGTTTCAAGATTAATTCATACGATTGTTAATTTGTATGTAATATTGCATTTAGTGCAATCGTTAATTAGTATGTAATACTTGCTTGTAGATTTAAAGATATATGAAATTTAATATTATTTATAAAGATAGTCTATTTAATTAGATGTATGTGTGTCTTTAAAAAAATTATTACAAATTTAAAGAAGTACCATATTTATTGTAGCGAAAATGTCCATATTTATTATAATACAGATACATGAGACATATAAACATAAATATATATATTTATATAAATATAAATTTTTGCCTTTCATTTCTGAAACATCCGTATGGACCAGTGCTAACACAACAATGATAAACATGCCTAATAATACCAAAACATTGAAAGAACGTTGATGAGACTTTGATGCAACATAGAAGATAAAAGTGCGGATGTTTTTTCTGCATGAAATTTATATTGATTTTTTAATATTAGTAATCAGATATAGCTGCAATGTTGAATGTATAATGAACAAAAATTACAATATTTTGCAATGTTGTAACTATATTTGAGGAACATTAAAAATTATATTATTGATATATAAAAATAAAAATAATAATAAAATAAATTATTATTAAATTTTATTATATTGATACATATGTATCAATATGTATGTTATTTATTTTATATTACAATATACCATAATCATATATTTTTTTTATTGTTTATATATAAAATTGAAATGCGTTTAAACAATTTTGTGCAAACCATGAAGAATATTCTTTTATTTCAAAATATTCTCTATTATACAGAGTCTGATGCAAGCTGTATCGATAACAACAAAGTGTATAAAAAACGTTAAACTGAAAAGAATGATTAAAGTTATTTTGCAAATAACCACATAAACTTTAGAGATATTAAATAAAATATATTGGCGAATCAACGCGCGTATTTGCTAGATATGTTATAATATACTGTGAATACTATAAGTACACATTATATAAGCATAAACTGTAAGAACATCGTTGGAGTTATTGGCATCACCGCGTGCCGCGCGATCATCAGGTTAGGCACACCTTTAACAAAGTGAGGCATGGATGGGTGACCGGGCATAACCGCTTCGGACTCGAAATTATCGAGGGAAGTCGCAAAAATTTTAGAGTGTGCTTGACAATCTTTGGTTCCTAGCAGTTATATGAAACATAAAGAAAATTGATTCAACATTACTGTGCTGTATGGGACATTTTTCTTGATTTTAAATTTCAATGATTTTCTACTGAATTTTATTGACATTTATTGAAATTCACTGAAATTTCGCTGATTTTCGATAAATATTGCTGAAATCATAATGAACATGGGTCAATTGATTGAGTTTTTCAGCACATTTTATTACGTTTTCAGCAAGTTTCATTATAATTTCAGCAAAATTTTTCTATCAGGACATTTTTGCCTCGTATCTACCGTTGTTTTCGGACGCACGTCATGATCAATTTCTGTTGCGTTTCTGCTTTTACGTTCGAACGGCAAGTCGTGATCGATTTCTGCTGCGTTTCTGTCCTCACGTTTGAAAGCACGTCATGATCGATTTCTGCAATGGTCATGTAAGAGCCGTTTTTCTAATATAGACAATCCCCCACTATCGCATACCTTTGTTCTTACAATGATGCAAAATACGCGACATTGCAGTTTCCCCCTCCTATTCTTCATCTATGACGCAGAACGAGAAGGTGAGATAACAATATGTAATAAAAACGCTATATGTGACAATTATTATTATTATTATTACTAATGAGCTCATACACTGCGCTGTGCTGTGCAACAAGATTTTGCAAACGTATGCATGTTATACATCAAGGACAATATATTATATAATAAAGCGGTAACAACGGTAATATAGAACGGTAAAGAAACGCTAAAGAACGGTAAAAAAACGGTTTAGAAACGGTAATGAAACGGTAAAGAACGGTAAAAAAAACGGTTTATAGACGGTAAAAACGGTAATGAAACGGTAAAAAACGGTAAAAAAAACGGTTTAGAAACGGTAATGAAACGGTAAAGAACGGTAAAAAAAACGGTTTATAGACGGTAAAAACGGTAATGAAACGGTAAAAAACGGTAAAAAAAACGGTTTAGAAACGGTAATGAAACGGTAAAGAACGGTAAAAAAAACGGTTTATAGACGGTAAAAACGGTAATGAAACGGTAAAAAACGGTAAAAAAAACGGTTTAGAAACGGTAATGAAACGGTAAAGAACGGTAAAAAAAACGGTTTATAGACGGTAAAAACGGTAATGAAACGGTAAAAAACGGTAAAAAAAACGGTTTAGAAACGGTAATGAAACGGTAAAGAACGGTAAAAAAAACGGTTTATAGACGGTAAAAACGGTAATGAAACGGTAAAAAACGGTAAAAAAAACGGTTTAGAAACGGTAATGAAACGGTAAAGAACGGTAAAAAACGGCTTAGAAACGGTAAAGAACGGTAAAAAAACGGTTTAGAAACGGTAATGAAACGGTAATGAAACGGTAATGAAACGGTAAAGAACGGTAAAAAACGGTTTAGAAATGGTAAAAACGGTTAAGAAAACGGTAAAAACGGTTAAGAAACGTTAAAAAACGGTAAAAAAGGGTTTAGAAACGGTAAACAACGGTAAAGAATGGTAAAAAAAACAGTAAAAACGGTAGCATTATAATAAAAATTTATTATACATATCAAAAGTTAAACAATTCTTTCTGGCGTTGATACCACCACCAATTAAATAT